CAATCGCAAAAAAAAGATATGACCACTTTGCGGATACTTTTTGACTTACCCTCGTATTTATTATTTTTATATTTATTTATGTATTTTTATTATTTTTTTTTAGTGTAATTATAATTTCGAACAGCATATTTTGAACACACCCTTGAAGATGCCGAAGGGAGATGGGACTTCCAGGCGCCAGATCGTCCGACGGCCCGACCCCGCCCAGATCGACGAAGCCGACCTCGAACCGCCGGAGCACGGTCCTCCGTCGCAGCGGCACGTCGCCGAGGGTCACGCCCACGCGCACGCGCACCACGTCGCTCCCGTTCACGACCAGGCCGAGCCGGAGTCCGAGCAGCGCGTTCCTACACCGGCCGCGGTCGGGCGCCGTCGACCTCCCGTCGCAGGGGCGGTCGTCGCACGCGAACGCGACCTCCCAGGCCGCGAACTCCCCCATCCTCCCCCGCCGCGACAACACCTGGAGGTCCTCTGCGATCCCGGGCGACGCGTCCTCGCACCTCAGCGCCACCATGCACGCCGCCTTGCGGTTCACGCCGAACAGAACCGGGAGGTTCCTCGCGCACGCGTTCCCCGCGATCGCGCCTGGGAACGTCAACCGCTCCACCGACCCATCCGGCGCCTGCCTCTGGACCGGCACCCCGACCCGATACGGCGCATCCATCCGCTCCTCTTCCCTCGAGGCCCTCCCCACCCGCTCCACCTCCCTCGAGGCCCTCCCCACCCGCTCCACCTCCCTCGAGGACCTCCCCACCCGGTCCTCCATCTCGTTCCTCGTCCGCGGCGCCCTGTCCGGGAAGAACGTCCCGAGGTAGCTCCCTCCCCTCGCGTACAGGCAGAAGAGCGGCAACAGGTCGCGATACCACGAGGAGCCCCTCGGGGTCGACCCGGACGCCCGGCCGCACAACCAGGAATCCACGTCATCTTGCACTTCACGGCAACGTTGCCTCAGATACTCTTCCGTGCATTCCTGCAAATCACCAGATTTTATTTAAAAGAATTTTTAATTGCCTACCTCCACGAACCAACATAAATAAATAAGTAAATAAATAAATAAAACGGACTCGATCGCAGCAGCAATTGGGTTCGCAGACGCCATACTTGGTGTCACAGGGACAGGGCTCCCTGGCCTCGAACTGCGGTCTCCTCAGCTTGGAGGGAGGTCGGTCCCGGGAGGCCCTGGTCCAGTTCGCGGGCACGTGGGGGTCCGTCGGCTCCAACTCGCCTGAAACACGGCAGATAGCTCTGGTGCTCACTTTGTTTTCTCTTCAAAGGCTGTCGCGTTTACGTCTGCTCCATGTCGAATTTATTGGACCAGAGTTAACAGGGTGAACAGGGTCGCACGAGTAACGGTCACGCGAGTAACGGTCACGCGAGTAACGGTCACGCGGGTAACGGTCACGCGAGTAACGGTCACGCGGGTAACGGTCACGCGAGTAACGGCCACGCGAGTAACGGCCACGCGAGTAACGGCCACGCGAGTAACGGTCACGCGAGTAACGGTCACGCGAGTAATGCTCACATAAAAAAAACGCTTCGCTTCGTCTCTTCATTCCCGATGAATCTCTTCGAAATCTTTTGCCTAATTACCGTGACATGAATACACGCGAAACGACGGACGTGACAAGTGGGCGAAGCACGCACAAACGGCTACATTTTCGCGTCACGGTCCATTCGACCCGGAACGGTGGTTAAAGGGTTCAAATGGGTCGGGCTGAGGGGCGTGTTCGGGTGGGGGAAGGGGGGGAAGGGGGGGAAGGGGGGCCGAAGTTGGAAGCCGAAGTTGGAATTCGGCTTTCGGCGACAAAGCGGATTTTGCCAGCAATTAAGAGCGAAGATGGGATGCAAGTTCATCGCGTTTTTCCTGATTCTGATTTCGATGGCATCCAAATATCGCCCGTCTAGACCCAAGACTCCCGTCTAGACCCCTCTTGACCCCCGATTCTCGACTCCACACAATTTCCTGGGAAAACGGCTCGCCAAAGACTGCAGATGCACACATTTGCGTATGAACCGGACCGACTAAGAATTCGCAAAAGCCTCCTTTCGGATGATGCTTTTCCCCTCCCGATCTGTTCTTCGTCCCCTACTCCTTGGAAGCCTTGACCTGACCTCGAAGTCTCGATAGCCGAGAAGTCAGTCATCGCGAGGCAGTTATCAGGAAATCAGGAATCCCCCCCAACACCATCAAGCTGCCTCGCATCTAATATCTCCACGCTGCAACATTCAAACGAAGAGGATGCACTCTCGGTCGAAGGAGAGCCCGCCGGGAGGAGGAGGTCTGGAGGGGGGGCCTCCAGACCTCCTCCTCCCGGCTGGCCGACCGCCTCGCTCGCCGCCGGTCCACGCGCAGTCCAGTCCAAGACATTCCCGAGACCCGCGAACTCGCGGAGGTGCGCGCGGCTCTCCTCGATCTCAGCCTCGAACTCTCACCCCTGCGTCCACCCCGCGCATCTCCCGTTTTCCCTTCCATCTCCCTGCGTTCTCGCTCTCGTCATTAACCTTTAACCACGTCCGAACACAGATGCGAAACGTTCCCAACAGAACACACATAAATCGCTCGTCTGACTGCAAGGTGCCCTGCCAACGCAAGCGTTCCATAGGTCATGCACTGCAGTCGTTCACTGTGCAGGTGCGATACCGAATGGAAATCGACCTTCAGGGAATCCATGAAGTTCTGCATGATCGATAAACATCGATAATATTGATATTTTCCTTTTATGCACAGTTGAGTCATTAGATTGAAATGGTCCAGTCAAATGAAGAGTGGAATTGATCATGCCGTGCGGTCAGGAAGGCTGGTCAAATCTTGAATATCTCTTGCTGAAACATACTCAGCATAGACTAAATTTTATCGCGAAATTTGGAATTTTCAAAGATATTTAAACAAAATTCATTCGCTTCTTTACAGTGAAACTGCAATGAAACTGCATCAACGGAACCTGATTCGGCATTCGTTAATTTTCTGCAAGGCCCTCTCCGAGGATCTCAGGAGTAGCTCCCGAGCAAAAATCGTGCAAATTTTTAATCCGAATAAACGGCATCGTTATACAATGATATTTACTTCATAATATATCCCCTGACAGGTTGAACAATTGTTTGGGAGGAACTTTGAAAATAGGTCCATCAAAGAGTACATGCAACTGTCGAAATGTGCATCAATTCAGTGCGTACAAGAATACGAGATAAATCAATGTTTCGACACTTATATGGACGCGATTGTCCGACCCATGACCCAGCGACTAATATGAGCCTTTTACAACTTGAGCGTGTGTTTCCTAACGGCAGCATGGATTCAGAAAGCAATTGTTCACAGTTGTCCCACCAGAATGCTTGAGGAAAGCGCTTGCGGTTTGTGGGCAGTGTTGGTTTCCTTTTGTGTCTCTCGCAAAAGAAACCATCCTATCCGCTGGTCATCCTCAGCGGATGTCCTGAGATACACTGAACATCCGCTTGATATGCGTTGCCTCGTGCAACGCCTTCTGGACGTCCGCTGGACGCACTCCAGAAATTTTTCCGGGCTAATATATTTGAGTGGTGGTAAATAACACGGGTGATGCGGGAAAATAGTGACTTGAATTGGTCGTCTGTATCTGGCCATCTGGCAATTACTTTCAAATGCTTTAATAGCCTATCTTGTAGCACATT